ACCAAGTTCTAGCATCATGGACACAGGCCTTAAGGGTCAGTTTCACAAACGTCGGTTAACTGTTAACCAGAGTTCAGTCAACTCCCTATATTTTTCTATCCTATTATCTAAGAAGAGACAGAGAGTCAATTAACTTTCGGCTAGTAGTTAACCGACGTTTGTAAAACTCGTCCTAAGGAAACGGTCGGTAAGCGACAAGGGTTGAATCGAGCCAAAAGCTTCAAGTTAAGCTGGTGAAACCGGGCCTCAGGCGGTCTCCGTTCAACTTTCGTATCAGTTTCGTCCAGTTAAATTAATTCTCAATCGATACAGGCAAAATGTTACACTTGACATCGCCGGCTCTCGCGTCGCGACGTGAAAAACTCGTCTCGCCAATTACGCCACGCGCGCGATGCGTTTCCCTCGCGCGTCTCGCGCGCATCGTCCGTGCGTGCGCGCAATTCGAGACGCGGGCACGTGCGCTTCGCGCGTATACACGCGTGGAGCGCCGTATCCTGTTCCGCGGGGCTCGCTACAACGCGCGTCACGCTCGTCACAATGGTGCTAATCTATTTAATCTGACTAACAACAAACTTATCTCGTGACTCACTCGCCGCGATGGATTCGCGCGCCATTCCTGCGCTCGTACTTGTCGTACGTCCACTCTGTGTTAGGTGCGCGAGTGCCGGCGGATCAACGCCTGGCTATCTCGAGTCTCGTGGAAATATCCCTTCGACGGGAAATATCCCCACTCGCTCTTGCCTTGACCGCACACGTGACGTTAATCTCAGGTCAGAGCGTTATCAGGCGATAACGACCACGAGTTCGTTTCCTTATCTCGTGATACTTTTTGAGGCTGGAGCCTTACTTTTTTTTTAAGCACCTGCACGAGTGGTTGACTTTATAACGTGACTTGCTTAATTTTTCAATATTAACTTACGATACAATTTTTTCCCCAAGCGCAGCGTAGTTTTGAATGAATTTATCTCCTTCGCTCGCGAGTCTCGTTGTATACATATAAAAATGACTGGCAAAAAATTTACGAGATACTAGTACAGGCAGTTGGTAAAGTGATAACTGTACGTTTTGTTTCAGCTCTGTGACTATGTTACTCTCGGATGCATTCTATGAGGAATCCCTCAAGGACGAGACGTGACGCTCAATGATCCGCAATTGAGACCGACCAAAAGCTGATATCTCTGCACCAGCGTATCGCGCGAAGTGAATAAATGTGAGCGTGTGCGATGAATTTGCGCTCGTGGCGTAGAGCACGACGCGCCGACGGTAACGGAAAAGTTCTTCAAATTCCGGGATTACGCTCGCGCGAGCGTTATCAGTCGTGGAAAAGCAGCTTTGTGCATCGAAGACTCGAGCACGTCACGAGGAATTAAATTCACGCGCGGGTAGGGAGACACGCGCAGAGATAAGGGAAGAAACAGAGGCAGGCGCGTCTGTGTATGTACGTTTCATATCAAAATATATTTGTGCATAGACAAGAAGACAACCGTGACAGGTAATTTCGTACCCTAACGTCATGCGTCAATCATACAACCAAAGGCACGCGTGCGTTACACCTATCTCTCTTTCTCTCTCTCTCTCTCGCCCTTCCTCTCCCTCTCTTTCTCTCTCGCATTCACACCAGTCGCATGCGGCGGTACGTCTTGCGCTGCGCAAATAATTAAATCGCTCGCAAAGTAACGATGCGCACTGCGCGGACCGGCCCGACCGCTGTTTGTTGTCGCTGGCATCGGACTTGCGTGCAAGCTTGACATCGCGAAGATGAAACCTGCTTCATGCGACTGCACACACCATTCACACGTACGATTCTCTGACTCTTCCGCCTGTCTCTTTCTTTCTCTCTCTCTCGCTCGCTCTCTCTCTCTCTTGTCGGTTTCACTCTCGCCGCTAATAAAATAAAATATGCAATTACAACAGTTCGTCTCTCCCGACGCATTCGCGCACGCGATGTCACGTGTCACGTGTGCGTGTGCGTACATACAATCCCACTCGGTTCTCCAGTCTTCCCGGCCGTTTCTCTCTCACATACTCTCTCTCTCTCTTTCTCTCTGCTTCTCTTCTAACAAAATATATTAGCTTTTTATGTACATACATCTCAAATATAATAATAAAATTAATTAGAACTATAATACAAGAGCGTGGGTAAAGTGCTCGGCGGTGTTGCTTCGCCGTGACTTCGTCGAATACGACGAAGCACGGTAGCGAATACGTATCGAGAGAAGATGGACACCTCGGTTGATGCGAGCCACGTCGATCGGATCGCCGTGTCTCGATGTGACTTTCTTTCTTTTTTAGGTACTCGGTAATCGGACAGTGATAACCTAGGGTTTCTTTCTCATTAATTTAACGTTATCTAAGAACCGAATCTAAATACAGCGCCGTGTATACGTGTCTTTCGCGTTGGACGTGTGTTAGGCGTGTTTTTTTGTTTATGTGTAGTACGAAATATAGTATACAGCTAAAAGTGAGAGTTCCCTCGCGTGAATCACCGTCGAGGCACGATTTGTTCGAGATGTCGGGGCACTCGGGGCCCCTCGCGTTGCGATTTTTCGCGCGCCACCGACAGGGGCGCGACGGCTTTCGGAGAAATCGACGGAACGTCCGAGTCTTAAACCGCGAGTGCTGACTGAAAGAACGACGGTACTAAGGAAGTAAGGTGCTAAAAGGCAGTAACGCGAATGACAAAGTACGGTAAATGAGAGAGAAAAGGATCGGACCCGTCTTTCTCGCGTGCTTCGTCGATTCCCGGCGTCATTTCGGAAAATCGCAGCGCGCCGGCTCGGCTCGCGGGTCACGCGATTGATTCTGCACGATCTATCATGTTCATTCATCGATGTTCGCCTCCCTTTCGCTTCATTCATTTCTCAAGTGTCCAAGCGGCACAGTCTGGAGCGAAGAGCCGCTCGTCCCGCGGGCATAAGCACTTCTCGTTCAACGAAATGTTCTTACGTGAACGACGCCGACCGCGTTGCTCCAGGCGACGCAAGCTCGCGCCTCTCGCTCGCCCTCCTACGCGACTCGTTGACTCCCTCTTCCTCCCTCCCACGCTCGCGCCTTCGCGGCTCTTTGCGCGACGACGCACGCACGCACGCACGCACGCACGTGCGCTCGCGTCGCGCGCTCCGAGCCGAGTGAGATACAAAGGACGACGTAGTAAGGAGGAAAACGAGCAAGAGCGGGAGGGAGGAGACAGGGAGGACGAAAGACGACCTCTCCTACGGTGATGCGCGCAACGTCGCGGGGGGGGAGGAGGTACGCGGGAGGATGCGGAAGACGCGACTAACTTGGTCTCACAATCGGAGCGACTTGATAGCCCGGGGACACGAGTCAACGTCGAAAGTCGACGGTGTCATCTCGAATTGCGCGGCAATGTCTGTGCACTGCTGCGGTCGCTGCTACATGGGCCCGACCGCGTGCTGCTGGAACTGGTCGAGGTGCCTGGAGATCTCGCGGTGGAGCTGCTCGGGCACGACGCCGACGCTGCTGAAGAGCGACCTGAGGACGTTGAGCTCCTCGTTGAGCAGCTCGATCCGCTTCTTGAGTAGATCGTTGTCTTTCACCAGCAGCTTGACCTTCTCCTCGGTCTCGCGCGATCGCACCTTCGCCTTCTCGCGGCTCTTCCTCACGGCGATGTTATTCCTCTCCCGCCGCCGCCTGTACTCGTCGCTCGCCTTGTCGATGGACTTGGTCTGCTTCCTGGCGACGTTCGCGGCGGTGTGATGCTGATGGGCCATCACCGGGCCCTTGATCGGGCCGCCCCGCGGCGGCTGCTGGTGGACCGGCGCGCCCGGGTGGCCGGCCGATATCGTGGACGGCGTCAAGGTGGTGAAGGTCTGGCCGCCGTTGGCGAACGGGTTGTTCGTCACCGGGCTGTAGCCGGCGGGCGGATACTGGGGGCAGTGGCGTCTGTAGTCCGCCGGGTCCAGCGGCTCCTCCTTGATGCTGGGCGACTCCGAGCTCGAGCTGTTGCTGTCGCTGCAGCTGTTGCTGCTCTGATGGTAGGTCGCGCCGCTGTGCACCGGCTGCGGCATGTAGGCGAGCGTCGTGCGCGGATAACCGCCCGTCCTGACGTGCTTGATGGCGTTGTTGGTGCCGAGCATGTCCAGCAGACCGTCGCCGAACTGGTTGTCGTCGATCAGGTTCTGGAGATCCAGCGAGATCTCCGGGGCATTGAGATCGGTCAGCTCGCCGGCGGCGGCGCAATGCTCGGCGTACTGCTGGTGCAAGCTCGCCTTGCTGCCGGAGACCTGCTTCACCACCGCGCTGTTCTGCTGCTGCTGCTGCTGCTGCTGCTGCTGCTGCTGCTGATGATTGTGATTGTGGTTGATCTGCAGCGCGGAATTGTTGTTCGTCACGGCGTTGTTGTTCTGGTTGCTGGTGTTGTTGTTGAGCACCTGGGCCTTCTTCAGCTCAGCCGTGCCCTGGGCCTGAGCCTGGTGGGCCGCCGAATCGTACATGACTGGTGACTCCATCGCTCACTCGCACATCACAGACGGGGAATCCCTTCGCGACTTGGCGCCGCGACCACCACCTGTCCACCACGTCAATGTCCGTCCGCCGTTTGTGCGTAGAAAATCGCCGATCTGCGCGTCGCGCCTTCGCTAGCCGCTGCCTTCGGCTACTCCGACTCCCTCCCCTTCGGCCGTCGTAGTGCGTACTACGTCGTCCGAGACGAGCCGGCGGGAGACGAGGTGAGTGCTTTTTCTCGGCGAGTAGATACCAACCGTCCCGCGTGTCACACCGTCACCGTCATGGACAAACCAACGGGCCCCTCGTCCCCTCGGAGGCGCGCGGCGTCGCGATTTTTGACACTGTTCCAAGTACTTGCTCGATGGTCCCCCGGATTCTATATATTCCGAGACCTCGAGGACGACCGAGTCACGCGTCTTCCCGTCCCGACGAAATGTTATCTCGTTATCCCGACTCCCGTCGTCTGCTCCGCGCGTCAACCGCGGCCCACGCGCGCACAGTCGTAATACGCTTGCCGCGTGCTTCTGATCTTGGCCCACTCGGGATACACGCGGAAGGACCGCGCTACTCGTGGATGCTCGATAGCGAGACAACTTGATGCGGCGACGACGACGACAGAGACAACGACAACGTACCCACTCGAGAGTTGGCGCGCGACTGAGCGCCTCGGCGGCATGTCGCAAGCTTTCAATGTGGCGCACGCCGCGAGCCGATCCGCGCCTCATTGCGCTTGCGCCCGCGATGTTGCGCGCTTCCCTCCGCTCCGCACTCGCCTCCTCTCTCTTTCGCTCTCTCTCCTTCCCTCTCCCTCCTCCCTCCATCCCTCTCGCTCTCGCTCGCTCTCGCTCTCGCTCGCGCGAGTGGTCCTCTCTCGGAGGGACCGACCGCGGAGCGTCCGCCGCGCTCCTCCTCCTCCTCCTCCTCCTCTCGTCGCAGCGCTCGCTCACGAGTCAGCTCCCCCCCCCGTTCCTTGTCCTCCTGCGGGCCCCGTTTTCCTTCTTTCTCTCGTACTCTCTCATTCTCGTTTTTCCCGTTCGTTATCCGCGCACGCCTCTCTCTTCCTCTCGCTCTCCTCTCCGATTTCTATCCTTTCCTCCCCTCTCCGCCCCGCATTTCTCTCTCCGTTTCCGACGCATTTCGGCCGTCTCTTTTTTTTTCCATTCCCCTTCACTCCGCGCCGGTCCCCTCGAGCGTCACGGCATTTTTTCCCCTCTCTTTTCTTCGTTTTCTCGCCATCCCTCATGCCCTGACACGCCGTCCGGTCCCGTCACGGCTCCGCGCGGCGGAAAAAGTTTTCCGGCGCCCAAGTTCTCCGATGCGTACGGGAGGTAGGCTTCCTCTTATTTATGCGACCGGTGCGCGGATTTTCCCGCTCGAATAATTAGCGCCCGCGGTTCATCGCGGTTGAATCACTTGGGTTGTCGGCCGCTCCATAAATTGTCCGAATCGATAACAATCGAATTTCAATTAAGGCCTGTGTCCACGTTGGACACACGAGCTCTAGCATCGTGGACACAGGCCTTTAGACACTAATCCCAGACACCTAGGTACAGTGATGGACAGAATGGTTGCGATACTTTGTTCTTAGCGAGTGTGGCAACGCGCGTTTAGATTCAGGTTTACAGGTTTTAAAAAATATTTTCTCTGAGGAAACGTTTACTCGTAAAATAGATTGAAAACGCTCGAAATGGTTTCGGAATCACCATCGAGTAAAATATTCCTCGGAGAAGATTTTGGAACTATAATCCCTCTAATAAGAATCTGGCCAACAGGCCAATTTCGGTAAAATGATATGACGACGCGTATGCGTATGTAGAGTGAGAGGGAATAGATTTCTCTCTCTCTCTCTCTCTCTCTTTACTGTATCACATTTTATGTTCTTGCTGTGTGAAATTGCTTGTTATTGCTAACGCTATTGTACTGTTTCTTATCTCAATTCTTTGCTACTTAATGTATTCTTGTTCTACTTTATTCTTTTCTTTCTGCTTATTCTTTGCCGACAAATTTTGTCAAACGTGTACTTTGTACAACATATTGTACAGTAATAAAATTAAATCAATCAATCAATCAATCAATCTCTCTCTCTCTCTCTCTCTCTCTCTCTCTCTCTCTCTCTCTCGCTCTCGCTCTCTCTCATGTCATTTTGCTGAAACTGCCCGTTGACCAGACTCTGATTAGAGGGACTCTATTTGGAACACAGTCTAAAAAAAAGTGTTGCAACCATTCTGTCCATCACTGTACACTAGGAATCGCCGATGCCTTCCCACATGAAGTTCGCACATATCAACACATTTATACATTTTGCCAGGGTTGGGAAATAACTCGTTACTTGTAACAGAGTTGCAGTTACAGTTACTTTTTTTGGTAACTCTAACTTAACTTCGTTACTTTCTCTCCGTCTGTAACTGTAACTTAACTCAGTTACATTTTTTTCGATAACTAGTAACTAATTTAATATAGTTATATTAATAGTTACTTTATATATTTTTTAAACCTCCGCAGATCGCATTAGGTCTTGCATTTGCTCATAAACGTTTTTATCGACACTTTACAATTCAAACGCAGATTTAATATTTTTATTTTCATTGCAAGAAAGTAACTCCAAGGTAACGATTCGTTACTCTTTGACTAACTGTAACTGTACGCGTTATTGTACTTTTCAGAATTGGTAACTTGTAACTTTAACTAGTTACATTTTAAAACTGTAATTGTAATTAGATACTTTTATAAAGTAACTTCCGACCCTGTATTTTGCATATACATACATGGAAAACGTACATGTGTTCTATTTGTGCCTGAATTTATATGGGAAGGCATCAGTGATTCCTAGTGTACGTCTAGTTGTCATTGACTTTGTGTTACTGCAACGTGCATCGCAATGTGACTTGACTTTGTACAGTCGTGATCAGAAAGATTGTCCGACGTTTTATGATAAATTTCGGAAATGTGAAAAGAACGAAGGGAGATTGAAAATATCAGCATGTGAAGCTGTTACCTAACCTAACCCTAACCTAGCCACAATTACTTATAAAGCGACATTTTTTATTTCCCTTTGTTCTTTATATAAATTCGTAAACCCCCCGCTTTGTTTTTATGCGTACTATAATTGCGCGGAAGAGTTTTGCAATTTTATAAAGCCAATTTCAAATTTCTCACAATTAAAAAATTTCAAACTTCAAATATCAATATCTTTTTCATTAGACTTCTGACCTGAGTGTTTTAAGTATGAAAATGTTCTGCTATGCGGAACGCAACTTATCCTGTCATTATTTTGTGCGTAAAAAGATTTACCAGCGCAAAAACTATATTCGAATGTGTCGGTAAAACAGATGACTTTAGGATTCTCGTAACAACGTCAGTGTTTTATTGACCATGCCTGGCATTTTTAACAATACCGAAAATTTATTGCGAGAAATATTACCTCAGGGTTTAAACCTGGATCTCCCTATACTCCTAGAGACGCCCGCCTAGAATACAGGTAGGTCCAGGTTTAAATCCTCGCTGAGATAATAGTTTTCGCAATAAATTTTCTGTATTGTTAAAAATGCCAGGTATGGTCAAGAAAAAACACTGACGTTGTTAATTATCGCTGGCGACATTGATGAATTCTTGTTAGTTGATATATATTTAGATTAAAGAAATATTGTCAACTAAACATATTTAATATCGACAACTTTTTTTCTCAGTGTACGCGCCATACGGCGCCTATCGCGACACGCACGGTGTTCACATTTCTAGAACTCTCCGCCGCATGAAAGTGTCATCGTTTACACGACATTGCGCAATCAGCAGTAATTAATTTCGAATCTTCTGCCGCTGCCTCCTGTCGAGATTGTTGCCTATTTCGAGAAACAATTTCCATTGCCGTCAAATATCGCGCTTTAATTACTCGAAGCACTCATTCTGCGAATGAGTCATACAAATATCCGAGGGCTATTGAATGGCAATAATAAAATACATCCGCAAAAGAATTGTACGACCGCAGACTGTTCGCGAAGCTTTAATCAACATTTATGATGAGGCATTAACGCGCCTCGCATCGAATTAGATCACATTTTGACTACATTTCTCCATTTCCGGGTTCTACGGTCGTTTTTATGAATTCAGAACAAGTTTCATACTTCCTTATTTATTTCTCAAAGTTCATCGCGGTTTATCGCCCCGTCGTAGTTTTAAAATGTTTATCCTCGTTTTAACCGAAACTCTCTGGAATTTTACAGATTTTTTAAATTAAATTTTCTGTGTTAAAAACACGTTGCCAGTTATGGTCGATTGAAAGTTTAATTATTGTTAGTCATGTACTGTCCTCAAATAATTCTTCCCATACAGCACGCATGTCTAACAATAAGAGACATCTTTAAGACATCCTTAAGTTGCATGGGTTGATGTAATTTTTTTTATGCTATTTTGATGATTTTTTTTTATGTTTATCCTCTTCCAGTATCATTATCAAATCACTGACCAAATTGTTTGATCCCGGGTGAATAATACTTGTAGGTTACAACCGGTGGGATTTTCCGCGCGAAATGTGTCGCGCTCGAGCCCGACAAACAGTTTCGCGTCCTCACGAATAGACGAATCATTGTTGCGTCATGTTTTGATTGTTTATCAACGCGAGATTTTTTATCTGAATGTGCGCGCAGCGTAGTTAGGCGTGCGTTGATCTACGAATCAACGCACGCTGACGTACATTGATCGTCCGGATTGAACGACGAGTTTCTGCATATCGCTTGCGTCGCGATACTCTTGTCGCTTATCAGGGCACGAAAAAAAAAAAGGAAAACATACCAGAAGCGACTCTTGCGCGCGATTGACACGGAGATTAGATCGAATTAACATCCCTTCGCGGATCGACTAATTAAGCGACTCGCGCGCTCTAATTCGTGTCGTATATATGTGTGCATCGTCGTGTGTATTATGTAATAACGGATGATGAAACGGGAATAAGAGATCTGTAAACGTTATTTTCCATCAGTTCCTCTCTTTTAGCTTCTTTTATTTTATTCTATTTCCAATTTCTCCTCTTTCCAAATGCAAACGATTCTTGTTTAGTATATTTTTCATGTAAGAACGCATCAAACCACTTACTTCCCGATGAATTATTAATAATTAATTATTCATATAGTAATATTTTAGCAAAGTAATGTGTATACTCCGTTACGTATTGCAGAACTGGTAAATTGTATCCTTCTTGCAATGTTCTGTTACCGTTGGCATTAAAATATCACTGTAATTTATTCCAGTTTAACATTTTAACAATTTCTGTAAATTTATACGATAAAACGAATCTTGGCGTTTATAAATATTCACATATCGGCAAACAATTGAGTGCTAAATGAATTTTAAGTACGATAGTAATATTTAACAGTCAAATAAGAAGCGGGTTTTAAAAACGCTAGTTAAACTTAATCAACTCTTCGCTTCCATGTAGTTCTGCCTCCAAAATAGGAAAGAGATCGAGTTTTATTTAATTTTAAGAACTCTTTCGTTTAAAAGCTTGAGAAATCGGAGTGAGAGAGGTGCTTATCGATTATTTAAGCCAACGACACTCGATACTATTTGTCCTACTGTATTGCTTACGAGAGCCAATCTGGATTTAGCCTCAAGTCATCTGATCTAAAACTCTGCAGGATCCTGCAATCCAGTAGGAAAAATAGTTTCGCGTGCCGTGTCTTTAAATGTCGACTCGCAATCGCAACGACACCCTTACGATCCCGCATTTTTTTTAAATAAAAAAACGTCGAGAACAGCCGTACTTGTGATACATTACATTTGTATGATAGTCTCGTGAGAGTGGGAGAAGTAACTAAAGCTAAATATATAAAGTGCAATAAAAGAAAATTCTTACGTAAAAACTAAACAATAGGATCCCAGGCGGCATACATGCTAAAAAGACACCTTTAAAGCCTCGTGTCCACGATGCTAGGAACTTGGTCCAAGTTCTAGTTCCGAGACATATTGTAGCCAATCAACTTGCATCTTTTACAGAAAAACTGCAATTGATTGGCTGCACGTCTCTTGACTCGAGACCTCGGATCAACCCTGATAGCACACATAGTTCTGTGAATAATCTTTTGGAGTGCAAATAATCTTAATTTCAAAATATCACAATCGAATATTATAAAAGTATATAGCTAGATTATTCTAATTAGAAATCGTATATTCATAACAAAGAAGAACGTTTTTAGAATATTCGTCGAGAATGTCTTGGAATACTCGTTCAGAATAATTTTTGAATATTCATCGAGTTTATGTATTGCACGTTGTTTATTGTGTAATACAATTATCTTATGCAAAAGGCAGTGAAACCTGCGCTCATATATAACCGACACGCTATATTCGATAGATTATTCTATTTACATTTGAAAAAGATTTATAGATAGTGCCAGTCGAATGTTCTACGAACATAAGATAAATATATAAGAATGATCTATGGAGTATTCCAAATATTCTAGAAGAATCTTCTTCAAATGTTTATAGGAGTGTCTTGTGCTATCTGGGAATTTCTAGCATCGTGGACACAAAGCTTAAGACATCTTTTAGAAAACTCTTGAAAAACAATTTGTAGACATGCGTGTTATTTCATGACAATGGGATGACGTGTAGCTCTGCGCTAACACGAGTGATTAGTAATAGCAGGGGTCCTCGGTTCGATCCCGACCCTCGTCCCGCATATTTTCCGTCAGGGAAAATTTACAAAGATTCAGCACCTGAAGTGCCTAGTATTGGATTCAGTGTTTGCAATTAAACACAATGAATTTCAAGAATTTTTAGAAATAATACGCTGATATAACGTAACGGTTGAAAAGCGTTCCCATAAAAGGGTAAACTAAAAAAAAAATGTTATTTGACAATGAGTGGATATAATAGAACATACGAGGGTGAGTCAAAAAGTTTTCGCACTTTTCATTCTACAATTTATTTACACAAAAATAGGAGTTAATGTAAATAAATTGTAGAACGAAAAGTGCGGATAATTTTTTACTCACCCTCGTATATGTATAATATTCTATAGTAGATTATTTTACGCGCTGAATAGTCCAAGTTAATACATGCATACAATAATATCGCACCACAAAGAGAAGTATAGCGTATCAATTAAGAGGATTCTTCAGCCATCTTTTTTACCGACACAGTCAAATATAGTTTTTGTGCTTATAATTCTTTTTATTGGCTTTTATGCACAAAATAATACTAGGATATTTTCATACTTAAAACACTCAGTTCAGAGGTTTTGTAATAAAAAAGATATTGATATTCAAAAATTTCAATTCGTAGAATTCTTGTTATATTTGAAATTTCAAATACCAATTTTTTTTTATTAGGCTTCTGAACCGAGTGTTTTAAGTATGAAAATGTTTTTCTACGCGGTTAGCAACTTATCCTGGTATTATTTTGTGCATAAAAGCTGCGCAAAAACTACATTTAACTGCGTCGGTAAAAAAGATATCCGAGGGAAAATAGTCCCGCAACCGTGATCCGGAGATCTCGGAGCACCTCGAAGAGAGAGAAGCTTGAGAGCTGCCTCGGCCCGGCTTTACATATGATCCTCGAATGCGTTACACCCTCTGAAGACATTGAAAACGTGGACATGAACTACTTAGCCAATGTTCACGTTTGGGCTAAGCGGATAACGCGGATGTGCCCGTTTTGGTTGTGTTCCGTGCTATATGTATGAAATGTCGATAAAAACGGAGTTATAGATTTTTCGTTAAAAATACTTCAAGTAAAAATTTGTAACTTTATAGTGTTGTAGCTGTCAAAGTGGTCGATCAATATCAGTTGCCATGAAGGTTGTTACTGTGCTAAAAAGGGCGACATTCGTAGGAACACTTTTGCAGGGTTGGCAAGTAACTCGTTAACTTGTAACGAAGTTACAGTTACTTCTTTTTGGTAACTCTAACTTAACTTTGTTACTTTCTCTCCATCTGTAACTGTAACTTAACTCAGTTACATTTTTTCGATAACTAATTTAATAGTTACTTTATATATATTTTTTAAATCTCCACAAATCGTATTAGGCCTCGCCTTTGCGCATTAACGCCTCCCTTATAGTAGTATAATTTATTAGGTATTCTGGCTAACATTGGATTATGTTGAGAGTGCATTGGCCAATATTTTCTCATTGTAACGCCAATATAATTGGTTATAAAATAAATGCCAATATACTACTGATGTTGCACCTAGATGATTATTTATTATAACATTGGATTGATATTGAAACTATATTGGCCAAGATTGTCCAATAAAATTGTAATGTTGAATATAGAACAAATACTAATGTAATGCCAATATTGCGTGCCAATAATTGCACAGTATTGCGTTTACATTGACAGTACATTGGCCAACATTATCGAGTTATGTCCCTCTGTCCGTGCCTACCCGAATCCCTACCTACCTACCCGTATTCCGCTGTACCTTACAGTCCTATCCGCGCTTCAACTTTCGTTAAAACCGCGACGCGATTCATATAAGAGGTCCAATTTGGGATTATACGCGCGCGATTGAATAGGGATTTAATAAGGGTCTTTTTAATCTTGCACATACGCGAGAATGTGTAAAGGAGATAAGGATATAACCCACCCGTATTTTTAGCAAATAAGAAGAAATCAACTTATTTCGTACAATGTTTCATCGATTGACGTCGACGTCAATCCGACGGTGTCGATGTCGATTCGACATTGGGCTTGTTTTCTGTTCCTGCACTGATGAACTAGTGCAGTAAGCTAGAATGAGAAAAAAATATACTTGTCTTACTCCAATTTATTGCACTAGTTCACCAGTGCAGGAACAGAAAACAAGCCCATTATTTCGACGTCGATCGACGAATAATTTCTCACTGGGTACTTAGGTACCCCATCAAAGTGGCCAATATTGACCACTTCAGTCAAGCGAGGCCGAAGTTTCGCGTGTCTTCGCGTCGCTCGCCGTAACGCGATCATTTCCTACGAGAATCTCGATCGTCTCGTACGAGAGATATTAACATTCATCAATGTCGCGATCCGTAATCATATCGTTGATTTCTACGGTGATTCGTCGAGATGAATATCACGCGTGATTTGAAGAGAAAATGCGATAAGGGAATTACACGTATAAATGATTACTTTCGATACGTTCACGAGCGATAATACAATACCTGTTTTAACAATCGAACGCGGATGAGGGAAAAGATTGAGTGACGAGGAGACCAGTCATTACCTATTCTCGAACGAAGCCGTTATTAATATTTGATTAATATCGGGCTTCTCTCTGCCTCGGACCACGGGAACCAACGGGAACTGACGGCGACTGCGGGCGCGCGATCGTGCCGGTCGCGCCATCTGATGGTCGCGCTCGCGAGACGTCTACGGTCGGTCCCGCGTAGCGTACACGGTCCGCCGGAAAGACTCGAGTCTAGCCGAATTTCCTCGCCGTGATATTAGCCAACAACAAAAAATTCGTGGTGGTCGCGCAAAAAGTTTTTGGCGCTACGTATATCAACTTTTCGCGTTCTCCCTCGCGGCAGGGTTGCTGGTGTCGTCAGCCACGTCGTCGCCTCGTCCAGGATTCGCCGGCCCGTCGACGGCGCGAAGTAAGGAGTCCGCGCGCGCGGCGGAGCTCGTCCCCGCGGTCTCATCCCGCCTGTCTCGTGTGTGGCCTGGCCTGGCCTGGCTGTGTGCCGTGTGTTGTGTGCGCGCCGCTCTCGATCGCGTGCACGCGCGTCGCGATGTCGTGACGACGGCGACGGTCTCCAACGCCGAACCCTGGCGTTCGGCCCGACACACGGCAAGCGCGTCCGCTCGTCGCGAGACGCGACACGCTCGACCTCGCGCCGACGAGGCTCGGCCGACCTCGCGCCCACCGCGTCCCGTTGCCTCGCGCTCGCCGCGCGACATCCTTCGGCTTAACCTACAAAGGCTCCTCGCGCGCGCCTCCCCGAACCCGCGGAGCACCCCGTACCGCGTGCTCCCGCGAGCGCGTCTCTCGGCTATACTTTTTTTCATTCACCACCGCGCTACGTCTGCCACTTGGCCTCCCGTTCCCGCCTAGTCGGTCTTTACCCCCCTCGATTTCCGCCTCGCGCCAACGCACGCGAACGCGCTTGTCAGGTTGACTGATATCCCATTGTAACGTTGTTTGCAGACTGCACAATCACGCAAGAGTTATAGGGCGATTCCAGCATTCACAATGGCGGGAGAGCAACAGCAGTTTTTTCTCAAGTGGAATGACTTCCAGTCGAACATGGTGTCGTCGTTCAAACACCTGCGAGATGAGAAAAGCTTCACGGATGTGACACTGGCTTGCGACGGTCAGACTTGCAAAGCGCATAAAATGGTCTTGTCCGCCTGTAGTCCTTACTTCAAATCCTTATTAGAGGTGTGTATCAACCATGCCCTTGTTGTCGTCTTGTTCGGTTGACCGTGCGGCTAAACAAGTTTCTCCCTCGGCAGGAAAATCCGTCCAAACATCCAATTATAATTCTAAAGGACGTTGCGTACAGCCATCTACAAGCCATCCTAGAATTCATGTACGCGGGCGAGGTGAACGTTTCGCAAGATCAGCTGCCAGCGTTTCTCAAAACAGCAGACCGGCTTAAAGTTAAAGGACTAGCTGAAGCTCCCGGTGCCATTAAGAGAGAAGGTTAAAGACACGCACGTAAATACGGTATGCTTTTTACTAAATTTGCTTAATCTTAGTCGAATTTGCCAATGATCTTTATCGCGTGACTTTTCTGTTCTCAATTAAATTAAATTAAAAAGATATTTAGAAATTTGAGGAAGAAAAACGGATCAATGGCGGCAACAATTCTTTGGTAACATTATTGATTTTGGAGCCTATGCGCCGCATGAGAGTTCGTTGTTCGGTTATTGATTGTGCAAAAATCTATTTATATTCTTGGGGCAAGTAATGTACATGAACTCTACTGATTCACTCGCGGATGTCACATACGTAACAAATTCGATGAAAACCATATCATAGTTCTATGATGTAAGGTTTGTTTGTCGTGTTTAAAAATGCAAATGGGGCAAAAATGTGAATTTTCCTTTGCAGGTATTTGAAAAGTGTTTGGACTGAAAAAACAGTGTAATAATGTAAAGTGATTGAGCAAAACACATACACACACACACATACACACGACACATCATGGACACACGACACTACCTACATTATAAATATATAGAGACATATGTAAAAAAAAAAGATTAAAACACTGCGTGTACACTCAGTGTCCTTCGGTTCATGACTTGGATCAACACGCGGTGACGATGTAAAATAATGCCTTTTTCTTATTCTCAGTTAATGTTAACGGTTGTATTGATAGTATGTACACATACATGCAAGTAGAGAAAAGATGTTGATGTTTGTCTTGAACCCATTACGCCACATTGTGGCAACAATAACAACATTGATTATTTTTTTAAAACGAATCCTCGCGAATAAGTGGGTCGCGATAGATACAATACATGCTGACTGGGGCAAGTCTTGGTGGATCAAGTTGGAGATGTTGACAACACCTGTTACAACGCTCGTTTTTTCAAGCCGATCTGCCCGACTCATAACACTCCCCCTATCGATTCTATTTGGTAGATCTATTCACGAAGTGGCGTTATCTCTCGTTTACTTTTGTTGTGCATCAGCCATCTGTCGAAATATAAAAATCTCGTGTAATCATGGAAATCTATATTGGTCTTATTGTACGTTTTCACAAATTGCCATGGGGATATGATTCTGGAGATTTCTCTTTAGGAAATCGATCTCATAGGGCATTAATGATATTTGTGTCGTGCTAAATCATGTCCAAGATGCTAATCGAATAGCACTGATCTTCAAATTGAATTTATTTTCTGCCTTGGAAACGAAATCGACCAATCTTTATCAATTTGGAGTCATTAAAGGCGAGTATGTTGTTGAAAAATTTTGTCTTAGTTCTAGTTTCGATGATACAGACGGTAGAAATCCCCCGAAACTGCTTCTTTGGTCGACTTTAACTGTACATTGAAATACGATAAATGATTCGAAAATGTCTCACAAAGAGGAGCTTTTATCTTCTATTCCAATTTTTACAAATAACTTAACTTTATTTGCAGGAATTTGTGTTTAAACTTGTTCGCTTAATAAAGTTAAAATTATCTCAGGAATGCAAATGTATTTGCAAAAATTGAAATTTTTTTTTATAAAGTAGATGCTTTCCTTGAGACGTTTCTAATCATTTATCATGTTTCATTACAGTCGACCAAAAAAGCGGCGTTTCAACCCTTTATATCATCAAAGATGATGTGCTAGAACTAATAAACAGTTATTAACATATTCGGATTCAACGACCCCAAATTAATAAAGATCGGCTGATTTTGTTTCCGAGGCAGTTTTATTGTTGAACGTAATTAACGAATGTATTTTGTTGCCTCTCAATCGGAAAGCTCTGCTCCTATCGTGGATAGATTTGCGAAAAACCCCCGACAAATCATCTAAAGAATGACAAATCAAGTTTACTGGAAGTAGTAACGTGCGCGTTCATACATATATCATTCTCTTTTGTCAATTTTGCGGTATATTGAAATACTGCTCTTTTGCATTCACGCGAGATGTAAAAGAAGAACAGAAAGAAAGGAAATACGAGATACGAAAGGAATTGTAATACCATAATCAATCCCGTACAAGTTACCTCTTCTAGTGATCATGATTTTTACTTAACCAAATACTGCCAGTATTTGTACCGGCGTATTCACAATATTACCGATATAGACCAAATTTATTTATGATAATAATATATTAAGGAATGTCTTAAATTGAGGGAAGGTTATTGTAATATAAGCGAAGTAAATTTTTGTAAAGTCGCAGCGCACAGTTCCTTCTCCCTCCCGAACAATCAGGACGCACGGAAAAGTCTAAGAAAGAAGTCAGGAAACATTATCGAGTCAGGGACACCAAAATCAATTTGTTCTATGCCTTTCCACTTCTTTAATCAAGTATTTTAGTATTGTTCAGATTTCCCCGTTTCGTCACTTTTAAATTTTACTTCACGACAACTCAGTACGGGGTTTCGTTCATTACGTTTGTCGCTCGATACGTCCACGCTCGTAATTCCTGACTTTGCTGTATCTTGTAACTGTATATTGAAAACTTCTCCAGTGTTTCGTGAGTTTTCCTTGCGAGTTAATTGTCCTTGTGTCTAATGTGAAACTTATTCCAATTTTCATTGGGATTATATACCGAATTAGCACGAGTGAATTTTTAACGGACACTGAATGCCGATTTAGGATCGTGTCGACACTACGATCGCGTATCGATCAATCATATACCGCAGAATGTTACGAATCATAGCGCACCGTTTCCCGCCGATCTTGCTTCGGATGTTTCTGTGAATTGTACGCGAGACCACCCTGGTCGGACCGATGGTTGTAAGAATGGTCCACCAAAAAGAACCCGTCGTTCGTAAGAGTGCTTTCAACTATTCCGCACGATTAAGTCCAGATCGTGTTATGGAACTTGACTTTGTATCAAAGTAAATGACTTCCATACAAGTGTCGACGATGCCTAATAAGTTCTGATAATTAACGGGACCATTCTCGTGCAAGCGGCGTTAAAGCGAAATTTACGACGTAACAATAGTTTGCACACACCTGGCATCTATTCAGGATGAGAGTTCAATTATTCGAGCTTCTTTTAGACATCGGAAGGCTTCGTCATCCTTCGCAGTCATCCGAAAGCAATTTCGCGTAATAGATACCCGACGTTCAATCTCAGTATTTAAAGCAGCGTTAAAAAGCGTCGAAATGGATGGGTTCAGTTCCTACAATGATATGTTTGCCGGGCATTTGGTGGCTGAATGTGAATAATAGTATCATGTACATTTGCTATGCTGTAAATTTGGAATACAGTTATTGTAGAATAGAAAAATCTCATATAGAAGTGACCGTGTTCGCGCTAAATTTACGAATTTTATTACGTCATGTGGTCCTTTTCCGTTACGTTTCTCGCTCCATCTCCGACTTCCATATGTTGCACTTCTCGCATTCACGACTCTAAATTCACGACTTCAAATCGATTAGCTTGCACAAGTTATCGGGACGAATCTCTCTTCTCTCCCTCCCTGCCGTCCTTCCTCCCTTTTTCCATTATACCTGCTGTTCTCCAAGCCGAAATTCGAAATCCTCCTTATTTACGTTACTTTTGCTATTATACGATGATTATTATGATATGATGTTGAGATATAAAATAAATTGTGTAAATATGCCATTTCTTTGGCATAACTGTCTTTATTGCTCCTTTTTACGTATCCCTTGTGGAATATTCTCTTTATTCCTTCATCTTCCTTCAAGAAAAACACTCTAACGTGTTAATTATCGTTGTGAACAAACATCGCATACAAACTATGTATCGTAAAGTTATAGTCTTCGTTGTACATTGTATGTAATTTGTCTTCTTTTGCCATAAAACATGCCGCACAATACATTTGTAATTATATAAGCAGAGTGTGATAGAGTATAAAAATACGTATATATGTGATTAATTTACACTTAAAAAAGTTGAATGACATTCACGCAAGATGCTATATGAGGTAGTAGCGATCAGAGCTCGAACTTGAACAGTTTTGAACTGCTCGATTTGCTTCTTCGTTATCACAAACGCGCTGAGTGGAAGTAATTTAATTGGTACCGCGTGGTGCACCGTCCACCTTGTGTTTCCGCTTCTTTTCCAGCGTAGGATTTTCATTGCTGCTTATTTTTCAGGTGGGTCTATGGGAAAAGAAATATTGAAATTGTAATATTAAAAATGGATTCCGTGTGACGCAAATAGTGTCCTTCTTACATGGCGTATTGAAATTAAAGACCGGGTATCTTGGTGCAAAGGGCTCGTTGGCGCCGTGCACGTAGTTCGACTCGTCTTCGTCTTTGATGCTATCCGCTCTTTGCATACATTCTTCATACGACGGCGGTGCTAGAGAAAGAAACAATAATTAAGAAAAAATATCCTTCAAAGAATTCTTACAATTAGATCAAATTCCTATGACGAATCTCACGAAAATTATATTTTAATTTCTGTAACACGAAAATGTCACGAAAGTATCATGAAAATATTTGCTGGTTCTAATTTACTGCAGCTTTAATTGACTTGGGATAGTAAAAATAAAATCGGTATTTAGTCGTGAGGTAAGAAAGCCGAGACGTACATACGGCTAGTTTCAAGAGTGAAATTTCTAAAATTGTTTACAAAGAAAAAAATCACTCACGTATGTCCCACGGGTTAGTCGACGTGCCAGGCTGATTCGGAGAGGCAAAACCTAATGGTAGAGGATAGGGCACGTTCGGTGGTCCGTATTCTGGAGACGTCGGCATCGGTGGTGGTGGATCATAATCGTACTGCATTACAGGAGCGGTAGGCTGCGATATTGGTTGCATATAGGATGCGGATGTAATGGTAGATTGTAACGGAATTGTTCCGATCAAGATCGGGTAAGTCCTGGTGACGCTGCAATGTCTGCCGTAAAAATGAGATTCTTTTTAATCACTAATGTAATTTAATTGCGAGTCTCTATATATTGCGGGAGCATTTATTGCAAGTAACTGCGAAATAATTTCTCAACATTTTAAGAACTAATAGAAAAAGTATTAACTGTAACGTATGTGCATGCGCGAGTCTAGCATATTATCTTATTACTGTGCTACGGGGAAAAGTATGCGTACGTTCCAGCGACGTGGACTGTAATGCGCACGGAATATTTCTGATCTATTATATTGCAATACTCCAATTGGGACGGCGATATTGGCGGGACCTGTAATCGCGACGTAATGTTGGCTTGCTGGCCAAATGGACCCATGTTTTGCTCCACTTTTACGATCGACTTGTCCGTCTTGGTCTTACGGTACGGTGTCATCGCGTGGAATTCCAAGGACTTTTTGAATAGAAAAGAGTAAAGATTACAATTACCGCATTGATTGAAATTAATTTGCTACGCCAGCTACGCGGTTATACCTACTCGTTCCAGCTTAACGCAGATCTTTGTCACATCGACCCTGCTGGTATTGTTGAGGTCGACCATAGTCTCTATCGATTGTCCCGGAACGAACCCCGTCGTCGGTATTCTGAAACGTATCTTCATCGAACCCAAGTTGAAGAAACAGAAACAACAGTAACTTTCGTTCTCCTCCTCATCCACGCCGATCTGGTGAGAAACAAATTATTCGATTTCGACGACGTCGCGCGGTACCTTCATTTCGTAGCTCGATGTTATTTTCGCGTGGTATAGAGACAAAGAGTAAATACGGGTCTTCGCGTAACGACGCCACTTACACACTGATGACTGCGGGCGTTCAGATCGTAAGATGAGACGACGGTAAACGCAATTTTGCTCTCGTGATCGAATCTCCACGGTCTGTCGATGACGGCCTTCGTCGTGTATCGAATGTGACCGTTCTTGTGTTCGAAGCTGCACGGTATATTATAGGGTAGTGTGAAATTAAAAGGATGTTTATTAAACCCCACTGGCATCCGTACCTCCCCATTGCCTGAAATGATGATTCTGTCTGTTAGTAAATCAAGGACGTTCTATTGAACCGATTCCAGCAGCTAATTATTGGTCGAGCAATCATATCCAATCATTTTATTGCGATATTCTTTTACAGGTACTACACGGAAAAAAATTATGTATCAACAAGATCAGTGTAAGTGAAATAAAATCGTTGAAACAACATCAATATTAATGAACGAGGAACATCAGATAGTTGTCTTAATAATCTGGATATGTAGTTGAATGTTTAAAATTAAAATCCATAGCAAATACAGTTGCGCGAATTATTTATGTTCGTGGCAGCCCGTGACGTTAACGTTTAACTCTAGCAACTTTATTTCTTTTAATTCAACAGCATTTTTTTCCGTGTGTAAATTTTTCAGGCGGCTAATTAATTTTTAATAGATTAATCTTGCGTGTGTTACCTGATGTACTTCCTAATAGGTAATAAGTCAGGTTAAAATACTGCTCGCTTGCTCGGAAATGATCAACATGGTACTGATTGCGTCCACCGCTATCCTTGGTGGTCCTTCTTCTCTCCCAGCTAACATTGGCCTCTCCCCTGATAGACACTTTCAGCGCTGCGATCAGAGAAATATCGGTATGCTTATTTTTATATGTTTTTCGTTAAAAAGTTTAATAAATTTAAAACTCTTGGTAATTTCCGGAGAAAATGATATATTAGCTTGAAAACAGGATATCCAGGAACGTACGTATCCATATTCTTTTTAAGGGGGGAGACCAGTATAGCGGACGGAAAAATAAAAAATTTTTCGTGAATTTTTTAAATGAAACCTATACATGTCAATCAAAACTGTGTTGTTTCTTCTTGAAGTACATCTTTTCATGTGCATTTAAAAAAAAACTGGATACGTTAGGTATTTCATCCTCTAGAGCTAACGTAAGCAGGTCCTGAAAATAAAACGGAGTCAGCTGGTTGGCAACATTCCGGTCAAACGGTTGATCTGAAATCAAAAAACCAAAAAGATTCTTAAAATATATGTTTCTGGTCGTTGTACGTAGGGGATTTTTGAATTTCGGAAAATTACCAAAGATATGTACATTTGAAAAAAAAAGTATAAGTTTCATTCTTTTTTTAGCCCCTTTTTGGTACTTTAAAAATCCAATTTTTAATTTAAAAAAAATCCTACGAGCAACGATAGGCAGAAACATATATTTTAAGAATCCTTTTGGTTTTTTTATTTCAGATCAACCGTTTGGCCGGAATGTTGCCAACTAGCTTGACTCCGTTTTATTTTCAGGACCTGCTTACGTTAGCTCTAGAGGATGAAATAACTAACGTATTCAGTTTTATTTTTTTTAAATGCACATGAAAAGATGTACTTCAAGAAGAAACAACACAGTTTTGATTGACATGTATAGTTTTCATTTAAAAAATTCACGAAAAAACCTTTATTTTTCCGTCCGCTATACTGGTCTCCCCCCTTAAAAGAACATTGCCGGCCAGAGCAAAAATATTCCCACTACCTTTTCCGCAGATTACGATGTGTGTAGGCAAGACTTGCGCATTAACCGTACTTTACCTCGCACAAAGTTCAATGTCATTTCAAACATATCAATAATACTCATTATGCAACACGTGTCCATGTGGCATAGACGCGTGTTGCATTGGTTCGAGTCTACAATAGAGATTTAAACTCTAAGCCTTCAGAAATTGACTAATCACAGTCGCGTATTCTACTCATACTTGACCGTGATTGGTCAATTTCTTAAAGCTTAGGGGTTAAATCATCTGTTGTAGACTGGGACTTGCACAGTTACAGGTGATACTCTCTAAAGTTTTTGGAGTGAAAATGGAACCACGGAGTAAAATAGTCGCTCTATTGGAGTAAATATTCATTCTAATAGAGTGAAGATTTGCTCCAATAAAGTGACCATTTCACCCCATGGTTCTATTTTCACTCCAAAAACTTCAGAGAGTACGTAAAGGTGGGTACTGACTTGCAACGTAATCCCGTAACGTTAACGTAAAATTGATACGCGCAATGACGTTGCATATAAAAAATCTCAGTCCGCGTTATCGTGACAATGACACATTACCCCCGGTCCACAATCTTGCTTTAAGTAAGCTGTAAGCCTTAAGCCGTAAGAAATTAACCAATTTCACAGGTGAGAGTGCGGGGAATAAATGTCTGTGATTGGTTAATTTCTTACGGCTTAAGGCTTACAGCTTACTTAAAGCAAGATTGCGGACCGGAGGTAAGTCCCAGTCTACAATAGATGATTTAAGCCCTAAGCTTTAAGAAATTGGCCAATCACGGTCAAGTATGAGTAGAATGCGCGACTGTGATTAGTCAATTTCTTAAGGCTTAGGGCTTAAATCTCTATTGTAGACTGGGACTTACGGGACTACGTTGTATCCACGTTAAATAATCGCCCACCTTAAAACTGGCGTTTCGTGCATCCCGTCGAGATACGTCGGTTCTTTTCAGGCGATCTAAGTGGATGGCAGCCACGCGAAAATCGCCTTTCGATGAATTTATTTTTAGGCTGTTTACAACTTCGAAAACGAACATAGCGAAGTACACGTTTGCGTGAAGTCAAGGCATTTAAAAACGCGTAGGTGAGAATTACGTTTTATAAACTTGTTATATAATATATGTATGTGAGCGATAACAGAAAATTTTGGAAAATAGTTTCTGGTATGTGCTCCGATATTATCCGTCCAGTCTCAACGTGCGAATTGATAATGTCGGTCATAAAGTGCGCACGAGAGCGAGATAATTTTAGTGTGTCTTTGTTTGCTCTCTGTCAGAACGTCATTTCTGATAACGGGAATCGATAACGGCGCTGTACATCAAATTGTCATTTCTCTCATCGTAAAATCGCCTATAGAACAGGTTTTATGTAGTTAATTGCTTTTTATAAAGCGGTTTGACGGGATAGAAATCTCATAACGTTGCTGTCAATAATATTCAAGCATAGTTAGGGGGTCAATTCTGTACCTTACAATATGGTGAAAATGCTAAAAGTGAGTAAGTGAGTTTGTCTCTTTCTAAGGGGACGGTTAGAAACTGACAAAGCTATTCACTTTTAGCATATTCACCATAGTGTAAGATACCGAAGTGACCTTAGAAAGTGTTTAATGTTTCACCCGTGTGGTTTCGGTTTCCGAATGGTGTCAGGCTGAGTGTTTGATAAGAGCGTTTCTCTTGCTGGCAGTGCCCTTTATAGAGATTAATACAGGGACAGTTAGCGCATTCGAACCAACCAACCAAAGGGAGCCTCGTCTTCGACAGTTTATTCCCTTTGTTATAAGACTAAAAAATGCTTGTACGTAACATATGTCGTGATATATCAACACAAAAACTTTGGGAAACTATTTCTAAAATGTTAAAATTTAATTAACTATGCTCTTAAGCGCGTACCGCCAAAAATTGAAGGTACACGTTAAAATAAAAATTGTGCGTAATTATGAGGTACATAAAAATCCACGAAAATAGGAGGGAAGATAGCACCACGAAATTAGGAGTCTTATTTTGAGGAGAAACATGTCACAGAAACGTGTCTTGTCGGTGGATGCCCACGATATAGACATAAAACGGAAGATTGATCCACATTCTGTAATTTACAAATGTACAGAGTAGAGAGTTTGAGTAGAATCTGTAATTTGCAACTGTACAGAGTAGAGAGTTTGAGAGAGAATGTAGAGAGTTTGAACCGGGAATAATATCTTCTATCAGCAAGTAACTCGCATCTCAATTACACTTAAAAATTCTACTATCTTCTCTCCTATTTTTTTATGTACATACCTCATAATTACTTATACTTTTTATTTTAACGTGTACCTCGAATTTGACGGTACTACGCGATTAATGCCTCTTTCTGCCAATGCAGATTAATTTTAATCTCGACTTAAATTACTTTTTCCAATTCGTAAAACTAGAAAGAGATACGAAGCAAGTTGGACCGAGATTAAAGTTAAACTGCGCATTGGTAGAAACGGGTACAAGAGTGTGTAACATCAAGAATTATTTGACGTTTGATTTGACGTCAGTACATGACAACAAGTAAGCTTTCAATCGACCATAACTGGCAACGTGTTTTTAGCACAGAAAATTTATTGCGAAAAATATGACCTCAGCCAGGGTTTGAACCCGGACTTCTCTACTCTCTAGGCGGGCGTCTCACCAATTCGACAACTGAGGCATGTTAATTAACTATATCTTATTGCTATAAATTGATCATATAACACAGCAGAAATGTCTGCATTTGTCAATTTTCGTTGCAGTTATCGTTTTCGTTTAGAGTAATTGGATTCATTTAATTCTGCTCGTTCTTATCAAACTGCAAGATCTCGAGCCTTTTAAATCCGATTATGTCACGACGCTAATTAACATTCGCACTTATGCAGCGATCTTGGATCGAGATCGTCGGTCTCCGCGGCCTCTTCAATCCAGAGTCGATATTCCAAAGTGCTCGTTCGTTACTCGGGCCATTTAAATTGCTCCGAGAGCCAGCGCCTTCATTTCACGGCCCTGGATTTCGCATTGATACGCATTATTACGCACGTGCATACAAATGAGCGCGGCACACACACACACACACACACACACACACACACACACACACACCATGGGAGCGCGTTCGCTGGCGCCCGACACTCCCGGTCGTCGCGACGCGCGGCGCCGACGGCATCGGAGCGGGCGGCTTGATCGCTCGATACTGGCGTCTGCCAGCCACGTGCCGGAGGCTTATTTACCTCGGATCGTCTTCTCCCTGGCCAGGTCTACGATGACGTTGCCAGTGACGGTTTCGCCGGGCGCGAAGGTAGCGCCCGGCCTGTCGAACTCTATGCGGAAGGTCCTGAGCGACGGCATCCGGAGGTGTGTCGAAATTTCGGTATTTATTGAGGAGAATCGAGCTCGTGCGATCAACGCGATCCGAGGTGAGGAATACGACTGACTATAACCGGTCCGCGACGTTCGTCGACCAAAGGTCTTCTCACAACGATGGTACCGCGTGTTCTGACCGATCGTCGCTAAAACGACGCCAACAGGCGTCGAGACGTGGGCGGGTGGTTCGTATCAGCACCCCCCTGTGAACGTCATCGGGGTGCGTGCCATGTCGTACCTTTGACGATAGTGGTTTCTGTAGTGGTGGTGGTGGTGGTTGTATTGGGTGGTTGTAGTCTTCTGTCTGGTCTTTATCGTAGGGAGGAAACGTGTGCGCACGGGAAGCTGAGAATGTTGGTGGAGGACAATCGTATGTTATGGGAATTGTTAGGTGCACGAACGTATCGTGATGGTATTTTAATGGTCGTGCAAAGCACTTCTGGCGAGTAATGGAATAAAAGAAAGCGTTGTTTTCACGAATAAAAAAATTTGTATTTGGATTGGACGACGGACGAACGCGATGCACACTTTGAATCTGCTGCGAGAAATTCAGATGGACTTTAGGCACAGTTTTTCGACAATGTTAGATGTCGAGTGTAAACACGTATTTGTTAAATTGTAACACGCTAAGGGTGAAACTTACGAGCACTTGAGTTATAAATAATAAGTTAATCCCACACGTAAGAAACGTTAAACCGATTTCCATGAACTGTTAGAAGCGTGAGTCATTGTTCGGTGTGTAATTTACTACAATTACACTTAGTGTGTGACGTCCGTTAAATAAAAATGTAATTCTTTGAAACGACGACGGGAAATTACGGAGAACCGGTTGCATGATATGTAACGATGTTACGTCATCGTTTTATACCGCGTCATAGTAACGTCAAGATTACCAATCGTCGAGGATTCAAGATCAGTTTTTATCAATAAATTTTTATCAATATTATCAATAAGTTTCAGCTGTTTCTGTGAAAATAGATAATAGGCCGATAAGACCACAGACTTCTATACACCACCGAACTACTACCTTCGAGTCGAAAAGTGAGGCAAGGGTCCCGCCATGTCTTATTAGATAACTAAAGTAGTCACTGACAGACCGATGCACACATGCTACTTTATTTACCTAAAGCGTCGTCTACAATAACCGGCGTAAGCGTGGAGTAAGAAGTAAGAGTAGGAGTAACGTTTTTGGCGTAAGCTGTTTAGGGCGTAAGCCGACTCAATCTACAATACGGTGAAGTAGGTGTTGTAGGCCTGCCT